GGGGGGGGGGGGGGCCTGTGGTCCTTTTTTTATTTTCTGTCAGTTACGATCAATTTATTGTGCGCTTGCTGAATGAAAGTATTCAGTCTAACTTCAAACTTTTGAATGGTACTGTACAGTACATGCATATTCCTTAGCATCTTGAGCCACTTTTATAGGTGCTATATTAATGTTTGTGGTATATTTGTTTTTCTTCTAAAATATATATTTTTAAGAGTTATTTTTTGACTACGTTCTACATATCCCTCTATGTGTTCATTCATCAGATATTTTGGTGTATTGGTTACTCTTTCATCTGTCAAGTGCTTAGGTCTATTAGTTCCATATATCACATTTTACCATATCTAAACCCATTCCACAGAAAAATCAGCACGGAAAATACGAAAAACGTCCGCAGATTCTGTCTGGGCCAAATCATAACAAATTTTCCTGTGCGCCATCATCATATGAACCGACTTGTGGTTCTTTCATCCGCGTCCAGGTAACAAAACGACCAGACCAAAATATCTGAGGCTACGAATTTCATGGGGACACGGCAGGAGGTGGGCTATTTCAGGACACGGTCATAGCTACGGGTGTTTTTTTCATGCCCTAAAAGGTGGTAAATAACCTCACCATAAAACTTCCTGTCTGATTACTCTGGACAGCACCAGTCTGTCTTTAATGACCCCAGACTGTATCAAAACTCAAAATGTACCCCTCATTTAAGCAGCACGGTTTTATATTCATGACAGATGCTAGTTAGTCTAGCACAGGCCCAAACCAGAGACACCTAATACCCCATCTCTGCACAAGGCATTTTCCCCTCCTGCCTCTACTGCGTTTTATTTTTTTAAACTGTGATTAATGAACGCAGGGATATGATGCAAGATGCCCAAGTAAGATTACGGCACTAAGAAAATGATGGACTGAGAAGGGGAATGAAAAAAAAAAAAAGCCCTGATCCAGTCCCCCTTTAATACTTTCCACAGCACCAAGAGACTGCGGAGCGCAGATGTGCGGCCGTGGACAGATCCTGCATTCTTTACAGCTTGTTCTTTTCCACACAGTCACCTAATAAGGGCTGGTGGGGACCTACGCTGGCATACAAATGAAACACACCGTAAGTCAAGCGCCCGCTGTAACACAACACAAGTATTTGTGTGGTTCCACAGTGAGGATTTGGTTACAAGCTTTTAGGACAGAGCATTCTTCCACTCAGGCTAACCTGTGGTCTCTGCTGCTCGTGCCAAAAACTCAACCCTGACTGGAGCAAAAACATCAAGAACTGCATTATTACAACCAGGTAAGCATATAGGTATGATTATCTGACAAATATCAACATCATTTGATGGGGAAAAGGTACCAGTTGCCAAATCATTCCTTTCGAGAGGATATGAGGGTGACCTTTATTAAGCTGAAACACTGAGTGGCTTGTTCCATTCAATTTTCGTACCCTTCAGTTTCGATAGTCGACTGGCTCTGGCATCAGGAATCTCCATTTTCCCAAAACACAGAGCAGGTGCAAAGCTTTTATTACGGCTGCTCGGCTGTGCCTAGTCAATGCAAATTGCAGTTTACTGTCTGAAGAGGATTCGTAGTCGGGACCCTTCAAAATCACTTAAAACAGGACAGACGGCTCCATCCAAATAGCCGAAATATTACTTTCCATCTCAATGATGATAAATAAATCAAGGCTCAGAAAGCAAGCAACTCTACCCCCCCTCTTGAACCCCAGTCCCCGTAACTGATTGAGGCCGAATAAGAAAAAAAAAAAAAAAAAAAACATGAAAGTGAATCCATTCCAGTCTGAGCAGAAATGTTGGGCCTGCTTCTCCTTAATTCTCTCTTTTTCCAAAGGACGCAGCTTTGTGAGACAAATCTATATGTGGGGTGACAGAAGGCAGCTTGAGTATATCAGAAATGCTCAGCCAAGGACCTTCTGGTTCGGGGACGAAGATGAATAAAAAATAAAAAAAAAGAGAAAGAGAAAGCCAGTTAGCCAAGGACAGTCATAAAATTCCTTCCATTTCCCTTCCAGTATGACAGTACAGGCTAGAAGGCCGACACATGCCCGCCGTAGAGGCCCAAACATGCACCTCTCCTAATGGCGTGCACTGTGGCGTGACAAGTTAATTGGACCTCAGAGCTATGCAACCTACCATCACCAACTAGCAGTTCACAAATCAAACCTGTTCTTCCACTGAGACATGGAAGGAAAAACAATGAAAAGGCCCAAATTCAGTGTAAACACAGAAAGACATGCGCTGCCGCCGCACACACAATCGCCTGAGAGCTGCTGTGGCTCCCGAATGCCCATTTTCCACAGCAAT